AAAGTAAAAGAAACTAAAATAAATCATTTAGTTAGAAATTTCTTCATGAAAAAGAATGAACCTATTGTTGACATGATTACTCGTTTCACCAATATTTCTGATAGTCTTAAAGGCTTTGATCGTGAATTTACTAATGGTGAGCTTGTAAGTAAAATGCTTAAATCACTCCCGGAAGAATGGAGTCCATTGAAAATGTTGATAGAAAACACCAAAAATATCAACACATATCCATTGGAAGAGCTCTATGGAACATTGATGACATATGAGCTAAATCGCATTGAGACAAAGGAGAAAACGTTGAAAAGCATAGAAGAGGAAAAGCGCCAAGTTGCCTTTAAATCCATAGTCAATGAAGATACTTCAAGCGAAAATATGAATGATGAAGAACTTGATGATCTAGTTCTTCTTGTCAAGAAGTGGAAAGGCATTTGCAAAAATCATCGATTCTAAAAGAAAAGAGAAAATGGCGGAGAAAATAATAGATTCATAAAAAAGAAAGCTCTTCAAGCAACATGGGATGAAAGCGATGATGATGATCAAGATGAAGGTGAAAGTTAAAGAGAAATCGCCAACATGTGCTTTATGGCAATCGACGATGAGAAAGATCCAAGAAATAAATACTCATATGAGCTCATCAATTAAGTGGACAAAGGATGATCAAGGTACTTATATAAGCATAACAAAAATATCGTGGTATGATCAACTCTCTTCTTTAATTACAAATAAACTCAATATTATAGTTAGTATATGATTATGTGCTAAATTTGTTCATCATGCATGATCAAACAGGAATTATATGTAAAAATTTTGAACTTATATTTAGTTTCATATGATTATTATCAATTGTTTTTCTTTCCTCGTACCTATGCTATGATTGAGGGGGAAGTTTTTGTCTTCAACGACCCCAGTTCTTTTTGATGATGTCACAGGGGGGAAGATGAATAGATAATTATACATGATAAAGAGCAAAAGATATATAACTTGATAGGGGGAATGTTAAAAAATGAAAATATAAATTCTATTCAAATGATTTTACTTTTGTCATTT